GGGGGTGGTGGCGTGAATTGACTAAAAATATATTTTGACAAAAACAAAACAACTAAAACCTAACACATCCAAAGAAATTATTGACACACGTTTTCAAAAGTGGTGCATTATTTAGAAGACGGTACACACAAATTATATGGTTAGGCCTCATAGGATAGTAAACAAGTTGTCTGCTTACTTTGTCTCCCTCCAAGCTTGACTTTGCCCCTTGCCTGTCAGCAAAACACTCGTGTCACGAGCTTGACTTCGGGAAATCCTCTTGAATTAATTTTGATCCCTACTTTCATTATTTTTTTTTTTTGTCAATTTTACACCGAAAAACCAGGAACATCATTCAGGTTTTATTCAAGGATGGTTGGGGAAGGAGAGGGTGGGGGGGGGTGGGGGGCCGCGCGCAAAACCAAAAAACGCGACGGGCTTGTTGAGTAGTTTATTACTGGAGTTGTCACGGTACCGGTATATAGAAATTAAAATAAAACCTGCACACTGCAAATCAAAGGGAGGGGGTTGATTCCGAACTACCCAAAATGACGCCCGTGCGAAAAAAACCTATGTAACCTGATATTCGACGCCTCTTACAATGATGTTCAAACTTGATTGGTTTTATTTTACAATAATTTGGTGTGCAAGATTAACGTAACGGGGTACGTCTATATTAGCGTGAAACAGAGTAGCTTGCCCGTGGATGACGCTCGCTTTCTTTTTGAGTCTGATTTGGTTCCAAAAAATCATGTTTGTAGTTTCCAAATTCGATTCCATCAAGTTTATAGGGATTATATAATACATGCCCGATTATAAAATTTAAAACAAAAACAACTATACTTAAGGTCCGGATAATTTAATTGTTTTCAATTTGTGGTATCGACATCCAATCCATGTTTGCATAGCCAACCAATGATCTGAAAGCGGAACAATCCACTCGCCATTTTCTCCCCGAAAATAAAATATTTTTGTGTCTTTCTAAGTGGTCGTTACAAATACTTTCAAATAGTAGAATCACCCCCCACCATGGGCGCCCGCATAAAACTTTCTAGGGTGGGGGCAAAAAAAATCGATTAACTTTCCATGGGGGGGGGCGCAAATTTTTTTAGTAATGTTTTAATGTAGTTTTAATTTACTGTAGCGTATTTGTATGGTGAACGAACGGACAGGACATGAGCTTAGTTACTTTCTCTTTATTTTCTCTTTAATTTAATACATTTTTTGTCTATTTTTGTCTAAAAATTTTTTTATCCAATCAATCCAGGGGGGGGGGCAAGTGCCCCACCTTGCCCCTTACTGCGGGCGCCCATGCCCCCACCCCCTTTTTTTCCTCACCGGAGCCTCCTATACAATATAAATTATTACTATATTTCAGATAATTCTATGACTCCTATGACAAGGCGACGTTGTGAGCCACTCGTAGAAAGGGACATCTTATTATGGTCCATATCTGTTTTTATTAGCAGCCCGCGTTCTTTAAAAACTAAACACAATATTTATTCTGGCGTG